GAAACTTAATCGATTTGGTAAGCTTTAGTGATGGTCTAATATAATTGTTTGCATCATACAGGATTAAACTCAGAGTTAATTACTCTGGTCACCTTTTTGCCTCAAATTTTTCAGTAGCATTTGAACATTTTGGTCAACATTTTTTGTGGACACCCTTAATAATATGTAAATCTGGTGGGTCTTAATTACATGTTATTCAAAGATTAAAATAAATTATAGGGAAATTAAAAAATATAACTTGGTCACCAACATTATTAACATACAGATGATGGACGAGCAATACAATTGCTTCAATTTGCTACGAACATCCACCACCTATACACTGCATATCCATACACCATTCCGTATACAACCATCCTCATAGGGTACAATCTAAACCTGCATATTATTTACACAAATTTTACATATACATCACATAAAAATCAATAAATTCAATCATCACGAAAATATACGTAATTTGTAAACCTAAGTCATCTTTTTTTTGTAAACCATACTAATTATATTAGAAGCCCAAAACTTTGATCTAATTTGGAAGTGTGGAACCTACAAACGAAAACAGATGATCCCTAACCTATTTCGTAGTTAAACATTACAAATGGAACACAACATTGCATGTTTATGGTTATAAGGCATAAACTGACACTAAAATTGGATCTAACAATCAAATCAACATATACAAAAACTAATCTGATATTGAAAGAAGAAAGTAACCTTGAAGGATGGGATTTGCGGGAGAGAGCGGCGGCTCTTTCCTCGGCTGTGACCGGGTAGCTCCACCTCGAGAAACTCCGATCAAAGAAGTCCCAATCCGGCAAAAGTATGCCACCGATTAGAGTAACACCAACGGCGTAAGTAACCACCGTCTTTTTTAAAGATTGTGTCCATAACCATACCACCACCATTACCACTGCAAGACCTACCATTGATGATCTTAGAGTTGCTTCGTTTCCCATTTTTTCTAACAAAAAATGTAACCAAAAGAAAATTTTCTACTTTAATGTTTAGGGAAGTACAAATAACATATTGTAAAACGGGATTATCTGAATCCTTATTGGAAGGGAACGAAAAAGATGGTTCAAGAGAGAAACATGAAAAGAAGATTCACAGATTATCTAGGAGAAAGAATTCATTTATTGTATGAGTGTGTGTGTGTATATATATATATCAAATGTATTTTAAGTGTAGGGATATTCTGGAAAAATTGCGTGGCAGTTAATTCAATTGAATGCCGCCATAAATGTTGCGATGTTCCAACCATATTTTTGGATCCAAATTTTGTGCC